GGAAGTACCTAATCAAAAATGGCAAATACACTGTAATGATTCATTAGAAAGTATTATCATTAAGAGGAATGCGTAATAATAACCAGAATTATTAGGGAGATGATATAATTTAAAAATTAAAAATTTAAAAATAGTCATCTTACAGATTTACCTAAAACTCAAGGAGGGATCTCGCAAAATAAAACGCGTTGGTGAGTCTCACAAAGTTATAAGTAAGATAAACGTATATACCTGGAATAAGCGTACGTATAGAAAAAATTAAATCGACGTGTACAAACTTTTATGACAATTTATTGTCTTTATGTTTATGATGATGTATTAGAACATGATATAGGACAAACGCTTTTTTCTGTACACGAATGATACGAGGACTTTCAAGCTTATATTTGGCCATTCCAAGTTGCGTATACAATGTTAGCGAAATAAATATTTTAATTACTTTATATTTACTGGAACCCGATACAAATTCATCCATAAACCATTCCATAAAATTTTTAGAACTGCAGTTTAATTGGCCTCCGGTAGGCGTAAACAACATTAGTGTAAACAAAAGCTTAATTTGTTCATTTTATCCTGCACGTCAACAATAACGTGTTGCAGTTTATTCGACAGAATTGTTTATGTTTAATCAACGACGTGAGGTAAAAAAAAGTTAACGCTGCATTTAGTGGGGTTAATTACATATCGGAATAGCAATAACGAATGGACTATATGTACTCTTTGCTATAATTATACAGGGTGTAGCACCTAAAGATCCCTCGGATCATAATTCCTTTACCATAAAATATACCGAAAAAAGTTCTAGGGCAAAATTGTTTTTTTAAATGGAACACCACATATTTTATTACTGATTTGGAACGACTACTTAAAAAATACTTATTTTTTATGTAACACCGTTGAGTGAATTTAATTACTCAATCAATGGTAACACGTTATACTCCTAACTTTAACGATTTCGCTGTTATAACCTTTTTTCGTCAAAATTTGACAGTTCTTCCAATTTTTTTTGAGAGACTCTAAATCACGCAGGGGACTGAGGCACAGCTTAAGACCTTTTCCACATTCACATAATTTGTTTTAGGTACTTTATCAAAATTTGTAAAAAAAAATCCAAGTGTGCCACGATGAAACAAAAGAGGTTTAATTCTGTCAATTAACAGTAAAGTGTCGGTAGTGTATGCTTGTATCAACGTTGCAAAAATGTCCCAAACTCAAGCAGGAATGGTTGATGTAGTGCTTATTCTTAGAGACCGTTACCGGAATTGTTTGCTGGCGTCACGAGTGTATAATGCTCGGAAAAGTACTCCCAGTAGTTGTAAATTTATCCAACACCTTTTGAAACGCGTGTGGAAATCAGAAACAGGTCTATTCATCAGAAACAGACCTGTTTTTATTAAACCGATCTGTTTCTGTAAAACTGACCTGTTCCTGATGAACAGACCTGTTTCTCATCATCAAACATGTTTCTGATGAACAGACCTGTGTTTTTAACAGGTCTGTAGCTTACCCAACAACCACGATGACGCTCAGTAAGTTTAGACCACCCTTGAACCTCACGTCTGGACTGTCACGTGACTGTCTCGCATAGGTGGCCCCTTATCTACTCTGGATGTGTTCTGGCAGGATATCTCCCGGCATCTTGTGACGCCAACAAACAATTCCGGTAACAGTTTGGAACATTTTCACAACGTTGATTAAAAACAATCATACACTGCCGACACTGTACTGTTAATTGTGAGAATTGAACATCTTTTGTTTCATCATGGCCCACTTAGGTTCGGAAAGGAACGTTTTTTTTTGCAAATTTGCGTTTCGTACCTCTTCTTTTTTACTTTCATATTGTTCTCGCTTCCCTCCTTGCTTTTCTTTGCGCGTTCAGCATTCAAGTGAATTATTGTTTTCATCCATCCTTTTTTCGCACCTTCTTTTGCTCCGTCTTCCTACGCCTACTTCACCTCTGCACGCCCGCTCCCCTCGCAGTCCCTTCAAACTTGCTTCTGGACCCATCAGTCTCTTCTTTTCACAATCTTCTTCCACGTCTGCTTCATTTCCTCACAACACGTCTTCTTCGGCCGCGTTTTCTCTTTTTACGGCTATTTTGCGTATCTTACTTTAACTGCGCTCTCTTTTTACCTTTTAGTTTATCTTTATTGTTAGCGCGGTTTTCTGTTATGGCCTTGTGGCAGCTCAAACCTCTCTCACGTTGTCGTTACAAAATTTTTGACCCCCTTCTCTGCTTTTTCACTTCTTTTTGTTTCTGTTTTATTACGCTACGCATTTTCTTTCACATTTAATTTACGCCTGTTTTCTCTTTTCTTTACGCATCATTCATCATCTCACCTTATTTCAAGGTTCCTATATAGTCATTCCCGCCTTTTCTTCTCGCATTTTTTCTACCACACCTTCCTTCTTCATATATCTGCCCGTCCACCTTCTTAGAGGATCTCTTTTACACTTCCTTTGTGACCTTTTTTTCTTCCTTCAGGATTCCTTCAATCTACATCATATGAATGACCTTTTTTACCTCTCCCTTGTTTCGCGCTTTCGTTCTACACGCGTTGATCACGTCTTCAGAAATTAGCGTTGCTTATTTCACACTCTCATCCACCATGTCTACGTCTGATTTAGTCTATTTTCATTACGTCCTTCCTTTTACACTTATTTTCTTAACCCCGCGGTCTTGAGCACAATTTAACACAAAAAAGAATGGCATCTGTTTTTCCTTTACTCACTTTGTTATGGGGTTTATTGAATTCTTTCCAAAATCGAAGTATTTATAGGCCGCACCTACGCGAACTGCATTAATTTTAACTCAACTTTGATTTCCTTAACAAATTTTATGTTGGCCATTTAAAGTATGATATTTTATTTTATAGCAGATGTCAAATTGACATTTGAATAGGTTTGAATGAGTAGGTTAAGTCGCTCTTTAACCGTGAGAGTAAAGTGAAACAGATGACTGTCCATTCTAATGACATCTGTCATTCTTCTTTCAAATGGGACGCGCAACATGACAAAATATGAAGTTCAGAACATATTACAATGTTGTTCATTGATTTATATGGGTTCCGCTATAAAATAAAGTTTTGTATTATACACGGTGTCCATTTTTCGAGGGCCACTATGGGGATCTCGCTTATCTTAAGAGATAGACATTTGGTTAAATGAGGGCAAAGTTGCGAATGTTCGTGTTGAATAATAATCTGAAAAGAAATTTAAAATATCTTCAATAGTTTTGAAAATATTGCAAAAAAAAGAAAATTTCTGATTTTCGTTTTTAATTTTTTTTCATAATAAACTAATCGTTCTAGACATTTCTAATTAACACATTATTTAGACACTTTTTAATGGAGATTTCGAATATGGCATCCCATTTTCAATAACCTTTAAGATGACGGAGAAACACGTGGCAACTTTAATTTTTCTTATGGGCGCCGTTTTTGATTTTGACATTTTGAGATTACGTCTTTTTTTCTCTTTACAACGATATATCACACATGGTGGTTCAGTAACACATTTTTCCTAAAATTACAATTTTCATTTTCTGCGAAGAGTGCTTTGGAAAAACAAAACGTTCTTTTGTTGTGAACAAAAGGTTGACTTATTTCAGGAAGTGTAATTTACGTTTGTGGTAGATTTATTGCGAAAATATTATTTATTCTTAAGTATTTTGTTCTAATTTGAATTATAATTTTCTTGCAAAACGAAGGTTCAATTCTATTCAGATGAAAATCTCAACTCAACTAGTTCCCTGCCAACGCTCCAACCAGACAGATGGATCAAACTGTCAAACTTTTGTTCACGATAAAAGAACGTTTTGTTTTTCCAAAGCACTCTTCCCGAAAAATTAAAAAGTGCCTGAATAACGTTTTTTGCGATATTTTCAAAACTACTAAAGATATTTTTAATTTCTTTTCAGATTATTATTCAGTACGAAAATTCATAACTTTGTCCCTATTTAACCAACTCTCTATCTCTTCAGGTAAGCGAGATCCCCATAGTGGCACTCTAAAAATGGACACCGTGTATACGACGATAAAGGGAAACCAACCATCTCGTGAAAGTTAATTTACTCAATGGTTAAAACATCCCTTTATCGTCTTGTATAATAAATAGCTATTATTGCATAAATAAATAAAGATACTGTTCTTTATCAATAGTCTGACATATGGGGTAAAAATTCTTCCTTGCAAGAAAACAAAAATGTAGAAAAAGGACTGTGGAGCTACCTCATTATTGGGTACATTTTGTGTAGCTAAATACGGAATGAAATACCTACGTACTCACAATTGGTTTGTTTTTATTACTTGAGATGAATTGGCATCAATCTCTTTCTTACAAAAGAAGTATGATCTTTGCTCTTACTAAAGCATCACCTACGTCATTTGTCTTTGACTTCGAATATAGATATAGGAATTTGTATGTGTACCCCAAAAGAAAAACTCGCAATTCCATTTTTCGTAACTTACGTAAATACAAAAATAAAAACGCCGAAAATCAAAGGGAAATTGTTTATTTTTATTTCTTTATTACAAAAATATAGTATAAATGTTTCTATTTAACGCATAAATAGATCTTAAAGAAACTTACAATATTTGTTATGCAAAGTGCTTTTGAGGCCTTGCCTGACGAATGATGAAGTACGCGTTTGCCGGGTCAAATAAACACACTTACGGCTTCTCCGATTTCCGCTAAACGTCGCGTTTATTTGTACAACCAGCAATCAAAGACCTACTTGAAAGATATTTACATTCATCAAACAGGGCTTGTGTGTGTATGCGGTGTATGTCAAACGACATACAAACACTGTTTTGATTTTGTTAACATTCCCGCATCCGAAAAGCAAAAAAGCCGAGACATTTGTCTACTATCATTGCACGCTTTCAAAAGTGAAAAATAACAAAAACGCTGAATAAATAACTTTAAACCAAAAAAACTTAACAGTTGAGGTCGAACGTTTTGTAAAACTAATAGGAACTTGAATTCGAATCGCCCTATCTCTAAAAGAGCGAGGTATCGAAGTCGGTCACGTCGTATAAGGCCAATAATTCGTCAATTGGTAGATCATCTTCTAATAGCTTTTCGATGGTCAAATCCGCTAGATCGTCCTCTTTCCCAACCTCACCCTTCTCTACAACAACAACAAAAACTAATAGGAATTGTCCGTTCAATTACCTGTATCCAATTCGTCATATATTTCGGATTCGGATGCAGTGTCGGTAGTCGATCCTAGCATCAGATCGCGGTGTTAAAAATGATTAGGCTTCCCAGACTTACCTGAGCTATTCTCGCTGGACCAGCCTTCGAAATTGACAGGCTCACACAAAGGCCATACGCCAGGTTCAAAATTTTCCTTGTCCTCATGCGAAAAGCTCTTCTCTGTAGTGTTCTCCCATAGCCGTTTGGGAGCTAAACGTTTCAATTCGCCACCAAAACTTAGCTGTTTCGGTACCATTTTTGTTAATTTCTTTGGCGTTGGACACGACGGCCCTGTTGAATCTTTGCGCTTTGATTCGTCGTCACGATTCAGTATCTTCTCCTTTGAAAATTTGGACGTTGGACAAGAGATGCAGACATTATGCGTTAACATTGGAAATGGAGCACCTCTCCGCTCTCTGGAGCGGAATCTTTCAACGGCAAGTTTTGGTAAGCCAGTGTGTAGATCAATTTCGTAGAATTTTGGAGGGGCACTTGATCGTTTCGTAAACTAAAACAATTTGGGCGGTTAAAAGTAAAAAAATTGAACAGTTCCTTTACTTTCTCAAAGATTTTTTATTTTGTCTTTGGACGCAACAATTTGAGCGTGGTTTCAACAGTGATCATAACAGACAGAAAAGGACATTAGAACAAGGATAGGAACCTTACTAAAACGTATTCCGGAAAAATTAGCTTAAAAAAATAAAATGTTGAGGGTGTATATATACAGAGTGGCCCAACGAGAAGTATATAGAGGGCTTTTAGGGTATTAAATTTAGAAATTTCGAAAAATCCTCGAACACGTCAATTTTGTATTCGAGGGGGACAACTTTTGGAATACAAATCACGAAACCAAGTCTTCACTCCTCTCGTAGGGAGCTTAACCCCTAAAATTTTAAATGGAATCTTATGACAAATGGCACATTATTTGAAAGCCAATTTAATCGTGATTACTAATCTGCTTTGCTTTTTAAATTCTATTGATTCGTTACGGAGATATTTGTATTTGAAATGGTTTTTTCTAAAAAAAAACAAAACAAATGCGATCTAAGTCACCTTGTATTAAAATTTTAATACAAGGTTTAAATTGTGCAAAAAATAACAAATAACACACAACATTTATTTCAATAAATGCTCGAATTGCCTTTCGCCTGCTTCCATGCAATAATAAAGATTTGCTTCAAAACGCTGCCGTACATGTTGCAAGATTTCAGGGGTAATCGCTCGAAATTGTTGAGTTATACCATAGTGTATTCTATTCTTACACTATGGTTATACGTGCTCGCAACCCTTGTAATGTTCCGGGCGGAGTAGCATACACTTTATTCTTTAAATATCCCCACAAGAAGTAATCTAAAGGACTTAAATCATGGAAAAAAAAACTATTTCAAATGCGAATATCTCCGAAACTAATCAATATAATTTAAAAAGCAAAGCAGATTAGTAATCACGATTAAATCAGCTTTCAAACAATGTGCCATTTGCCATAGGATTCCATTTAAAATTTTAGGGGTTAAGCTCCCTACGTAGAGGGGTGAAGACTTGGGTCCGTGATTTGTATTCCAAAAGTTGTCCCCCTCGAATACAAAATTGACGTGTTCGAGGATTTTTCGAAATTTCCTTCCTTTTTTAAATCGATTCACCTTAGGGCCATAAATTATATAATAAAAATAATTCCGGAAAAATTACCTTAAAAAAATAAAATTTTGAGAGTAGAAAATTTTCTTTGGCCTACATTTTAGGTTAGGAACAAGATATCGAGATGCGGTTTTCGCGAGCTTGTGTAGGCATAATTTACCTACTTTTTCATGAAAAAAAAATCGAACCAACGCATTTAATTCTTTTGAGAAAATTAATCATTTCTGTCGGAATGTCGAAAAAAGCCCTCAAGCGACGATATGTGAAACTAACAAAACTTCAAATATTATAATATTTGTAGCCGAAGAATAACTCTTTTCAATTAACCCGAGTTTGTTAAAATCGACCCAGCCGTTTTGAAGATACAGGGTGTTCTTTAGGGAAACATTTGAATACTCCCACCACTTCATTTTTAGAGATACGGGAAAAACTGTCAAACAAAAAAGGTTCAGATTATCGTCGTCTTCAAATACCGGACATTTTTTTGTTAGGTTAATATAGCGGAATTCACAGAAAAATCACTTTTTTAGATTCTAGATTGAAGTTACACCCCCTAGCGGCCATTTCAGAAACTTAAAAATATTTTCCAGGTTTTTCTCGTGGCCGTTTTAGTAATAATTTTTTTTACCGCAAGCCTCTACGATAGACAGGTTCCCAGATACTCGCATTCTTATTTGGCCACCCTGTACATACTAATAAACAGAAATCATTGCTATTAAATAGAAAATAAATCTAACACCAGAGTCATCTTATAAGGCGAAGTTTAGATTTATGAAAAGGAAGTTGAATAATCTGCTCTTCCACTTACCCTAATACTTAACAATAATTTTCAATTAAAGAAAATGAGTACAAAATTTAATTTATATTAATTATTGATTGTTTAATTGATTAGTGGCGTGCCATTTGCAATAAATGACAATAATAAATCAAGAAGAGAGGAAGTTAATTAATAAAAAATAAAGAAAAATAAGAACAAAAAACAAAAAAAAAGAAAATTTTATTTTTTCTTTTGATTTTCATAAATAGTTCTAGGCAGGCGATGTCTGAAAATGGTGGTTTTAATGAGAATGACTTTTTAAACAAATGCGATTTATGGATTTCAGGCGTGATAAAACTTTTCTTTCTTATATTTACGTTGTGAATATCATATCGAAATTTAATTTTGTCAAAAAGGTAATTCGGTTTCTTAGTAGTTAATGGATTTTTACTTTTTCACTTGATAGAGAAAAAATTACAAAACCAGAAATACTTAAACACTTAAGTATTTCATTTGGGAATCAACCTTGCATTTTTGCTTTGAAGTTTACCATGTATTTCTTATGGCAATAATTCCATGACCGTGTCTATGGTGACTATGCGAGACAATAAACGCAGGAATTTGGTTTCAATCACAATCGGCCATGGAATAATTTCCATAAGAAATACATTGTAACCTTCGAGGCAAAAATGCATGGTTGATTCCCAAATCAAATACAGAGTGTATTACTGGTTTTATAATAATTTTTTTTCTATAGAGTGACGTAAAAATCCAATACGGGCTCCATTTAAGATAACGAAGTTGATGACAATATCTCCAAAACCGCCATTTTGAAAAAAATAGCTCTTTTTGTTAGTAAAATATTTAAACTTTTAAAAAATGGCGATTAGTACTTTTTTCCAATTATTTACGAAACGAATTATTTTTTTCAAAATATCTATTAGCATCAAAAACTACACCACTTTACCAATTTAACCGAATCTTTACGTATAATAATAACAAAGACAGCCATGTTATCCTACTCAATTTAAGACACCCTGTATAATGTGCTATTATTTTAAGCAGATGTTAAATTGACAGTTTAATGGGTTTGAATGAGTAGGCTATAGATAAAGTGAAACAAATAATTTTGCACTCCAGTGATATATGTCATTCTTACTAAAAATGGAACGCGGATCATGAAGTAAAATGCAGTTCAGAACATAATATAATACTCTGATTAAAAAAAAGTAATTAGGATATCGTCTGCCTGTACCTGGGTGTAGTTTTGCAATTTTCTTTAGATAGATAGATATTAGATAGCGAAATGCTTCTGAAGATGATGTTAATGAGACTTATGTTATCCATTAAACCATATTATTGTACAGATGGGGCCAGACCATGCTGTAAGTAAGTGGGGCTCACCATCTGGCTACGGGCGTGCGTTTGCTGGACTTTACACAGAAATGTATGAGTCCCAGAATGCAGGGAGGAAGAAATGGACGGGCTCTAACAAAAGTACTCTAGTAGTAGTCACCCTTGCTGTTCTTGGACTCCTTTACGTTCTTAAAGGGTTTTTCTTTTGTCTTTAGACATAGCAATGTCTGTCTGTCAGTAGTAGCATTATTATTAAATTGTTAGTTATGTACAGGGGGTGTATTAAATTAATTTAGGTACAATGCCCTTTTTTTTAGTAGAGTAGAAACGGCCAAGTTGACAGGACGTGAAATAAAACTCGTTTAGTTCTCACAGCTGCCTTGACTTGTACGTTTTTTTGGAAAAATTTAACACTTTTTTTCTTGGTTTTCATTTAAAATTTCTGATTAAAAATTTGTGTGATTGTAGTTAGTTATTATATCTATCAAAATGTGCAATTCCACCTGGCCCGCCACTGACTAGAAACCAATTTCGAAAGAAAATTCAAAGGGCTGTAACTTTTGAACTAGAAGCCCAATTTTGGAACTGTTTGAAATTATGGATTCTACAGGCCACATTCTATAAGAAAATTTTTTTGCGGGTCGATCTGAGACAATTTTTTTTTCGGGGCTCAAAAAAAGGCAGTGTATAACCTTCCTTTTTTACCAAAAATTGACTGCACCAAAATTTCTCGGGAAAACACTTTTTCTTATTAATTTTGGTGCGTAGAATCTAAAACAATTCGTACTTTTTCGATCGGACTTCTCAATCAAAAGTTATGGACTAGAAACCAATTTCGTAAGAAAATTCAAAGGGCTGTAACTTTTGAACTAGAAGCCCAATCTTGGAACTGTTTGAAATTATGGATTCTACAGGCCACATTCTGTAAGACAATTTTTTTCCGGGTCGATCTGAGACAATTTTTTTTTGGGGCTCAAAAAAGGGCAGTGTATAACCTTCCTTTTTTACCAAAAATCGACTGCACCAAAATTTCTCGGGAAAACACTTTCTTATTAATTTTGGTGCGTAGAATCCAAAACAAATCGTACTTTTTCGATCGGACGTCTCAATCAAAAGTTTTAATTATCAGCTGCAATTATTTAAAAAAAAACTGTATTGTAATTGATTTCCGAAAAAGGAGTACTAAAATGACACCGCAGAGCTTCTTCCCCCCCCCCCCCCCCGTCCGCCCCTGGTTTTGGCTACAAGCAAATACGTATACCATTTACCAAACACTTGTTACTCATAGAAAAACACGTGTCGTCCGCAAATAGTCTAATATAACACGAGCCGTATGTATTTGCATATAGCTCGAAAAAAGCAGAGGGCCTAAAACAGACCTTTGCGGGACACCGTAAATTACAGGAAGCACGGTCCACAATAACATATTGCATTCTATTAGTTAGGTATGAGGCAAGTAGGTCTGCACTTCGTTAAGCCAAAATTATAGTGACGAAGGATATTAAACAAAATCCTATGGGAAACACAGTTAAAAAAAAGGTAATTTTCTTTTCGAAAACAGTATTTGTTGGTATGAAGATTTTTGAATTTGTATATCAGTATCGTTTCAATTTGTGTTGAAGTATTAAATACTTGGCAATTTCCACTACTTTTGACTTAATTTCAAGTCGATTTAAGTCAAGTAGCCTATGACCCCAATATACGAACTTGACGAACCATAGGAATTCAATAGCAATTGTTTAATTTCTGATTATTGGCTTCCTTTATTATTTTAGAAAGTCGTTAAGCCATGGAATCATGAAATGAAACAAAAGCTTTGTTTGATCCCAAACTGCCATGGCACCACTGATTTTCTGAAAAGCGCCAGTTTTTAGTTATCCAATTTCTTGGTTTCAAAGTTCGAAACATTAAAAACGTAAAGTACGCATGGATTCGTAATTTGTTTCTCTACAAAAAACCTAAATAGACTTTATCTATAAAATATTAATTCGGGAAGCCAATAATCAGAAATGAAAAAAATACTGTAACCTATATTGAAATTTCTATGGTGCGCTGTTCAAGTCACCACCCGGTATAATAAGATCAGTTAACAATTAAAAATCATAGTATGTGCTTTTGCTATATCTGAGTAGCGCAAATTAAAATTTTTGCATTACGAGATATGAGTAATTTTTCGAGTGAATATATGCCCGCCATGGCAAACGCTATCTCGTGCAGACGTGAAAACGTAAATATAACAAAAAGTGGTACTTACAGATCTCAGTATCCGCGGTGTGTTACGATCAATTTCAATCAAATTTGTCGCATCCGGTACTGAACACTCTTCCTGCGAATACAAAAACAGTTAAAACATGTACATACGATATCAAACACGTGCACGCCTTTCGAAAGCTACATTACCAAATTATTCAGGAGCGAATCCCGGGTTGTTGAAAAAAGATCTTTCGATATCTCACTCATCACAAACTATTTACTCACACAGACTAAACAATTACAATTACCACACAACACTTAACCTAAACCGCATTAAAGACGAAAGGGTTGTAAAATAATACTTACACTTTTGTTGCCGTGAACCGAGCTGGTTAGATAAATTGATTCGCTATTTCTTCGTCGATGACCGTGCACTGATCACCCGCCAATCCAAAATATGAATTCGAGATCTTTTCACTGTCTTTTATAGTTTTTAATCTCTTGTCGTCGGCGGTTCGTGTTAAATTTTACGGTGGTCGAAATTATCGCACAGCTGCGTATACAAAGAAACCGCGCGTTTACTGATAGATGGTAATTGTCTCTATGATATGGAGGTAGATCAAATTTCATCGGTATTGTCGGCATCGACTTTTGCACTTGGACACTTTTTCTATAAAGACTAAACGTTTTAAAATTGTAATTTGTGACAGATAATAGCGACTAAAACAGTTTTCCTTTTCAAGAAAGTCTTTGGACAGACAATGATGGCCAAATAAGTGCACGCGCGAACTCTTCTTGTGTTAACATTTTTGAAAAGTCAGCAGGTACCGTATATGCACGAAGTAAAGGATTTTTTAAGGGCTTTCTTTGAGCTCGGAGGACCAATAAAATGTGTTTTTTTTCTGCATTTTTCTAGAAATGATATTACTTTTTTAACATGCGGCCTCCGTTGAAGCGACCATGACTTCAAAATTTTAAAGATGGTAAATTTTTCTTCTATAGCTGTGTATTCCCATTTTCATTTCTCTATTCTTTAGGTCGTTAATTTAATTGGGTAAAATTTTCTCTCGACCAACGTCTCCACCAAAACAGTTGCTTGAATTGTTCAATTCTTTGCCAATGTCAGATTTTGGGTAAATGAAACTGAATTTGAGGAAAAAATTTGCTGTGCCACCCGCATAGCTGCCTATTAGCCCTTTTATGTCTAAGAATATGCGTATCAAATTTGGTTTCAATCGGTTCAGCCGTTTAGCTGGAAATGACAGTACAGACAGACCAACAGACCGACATCATCGAGTTAAACTCTTAAAATTTTACTTCCGAAATTGAACTCTCTATCACATCACATCTTATTTTGTTCGCTGTAAAATGCAATAAACAAATAGTTATTTGCATAAAAGTGGGGAAAATGACACATGACTGGCGAGGAAATATTTAAATAAATAAATATTTAATTTCCGAGTCAGGTAATGTCATTTTAGTTTTACTGACGATTTTTGTATTAAATTTTACCCGAAATCGTATTTTAATATAAAATTTCAATTTTCATATAGAACTTTTGATTAATGCCAATCTGTCCACGATGACAGGAGTCATTATAGACATTTAGGAATTTAAAAAATGCGGCCGGTAAAGTGACAAGCGGCAGGAAACGTAGTCTGCTCTGCCTCTGTCATGGAAACTAAAATTTCCTGACAGAAAGTAGGCATAAAAATGAAGGTTTCAGGACGATTTTGGGTAAACTCACTTATTTGATTTTCCCTTTTTTTAATGCAGACTATTCTAGAGCCTAATGTCCCTCTTCAACATAAAATTGAGCCGTTCGAGTGTTTTTTTCCCAAAATTTATTTTAACTCAACGAAAAATAATTGTTAATATACACGGTGTCCATTTTTCGAGTGCCACTATGGGGATCTCACTTATCTTAAGAGATAGAAAGTTGGTTAAATGGGGGCAAAATTGCCAATTTTCGTGCCGAATAAGAATCTGAAAAGAAATTTGAAATATCTTCAATAGTTTTGAAGATATCGCAAAAAAACGAAAATTTCTGATTTTCGTTTTTAATTTTTTTATGATAAAAATTAAAAAAATTAAAATTATAATTAAAAAATTAAAAATTAAAATTAAATTAAGTTAAAATTTCAAATATGGCATCCTGTTTTTAATAACTTTCAAGATGACGGAGAAACACGTGGCAACTTTAGATTTTCTTATGGGCACCATTTTGAATTTTCACATTTTGACATTACGTCTTTTTTTCTCTTTACAGCGATATATCACACATGGTGGTTCAGTATCACATTTTTCCTAAAAATACAATTTTTAATTTTTTGAGAAGAGTGCTTTGGAAAAAGAAAACGTTCATTTGTTGTGAACAAATGACAAAGTTCATCAAAGTCGGCTGGCAATGTTTTGTAAATTTCATTTTTCATTGTTCCCCACAAAAAATACTCCAAGGGAGACAGGCCAGGTGACCGCGCCGGCCAGCGTACGTCGCCATTATTAGCAATAACATGATTGGGGAACAATTCCGATAAGCATTCCCCAGCCCTCCTAGCATTATGGGGCGGTGCGCCATCTTGCTGGAACCATATCGAGTTCAAACGATGAAGAGGAACGTTATTGTCAATAAAATCGGTTAGAAATGTCCTCAGGAAATGGAGGTACCGATCAGTATTTAGAGAGTCTCCTAAGGACCAATTATTGTATCGCCCAATAAACCGACCCATACGTTAACGCTAAAACGTATTTGTGGTCGTCGTTCTTGAAATTGATGAGAATTTTCAATTGACCAGTAATGTTCATTGTCAAAATTTCAAAAGTTTTACCGCTTACAAAATTGCCTGCTCCTATTCATTGGGTCTATCACCATATTACATCTACACCTTTTAAAAGAACCATATTCGCCCAAGTTTTTATGCAGCAAAGAAAAATATCTCAAACTAGATTGTTGCCGCTCTGGATAACGCTGGAAGTATGTTGCAGCAGCCATATGGGCATTTCGATGAGAAATGTAGTAAATTTGGATCATATCTGTTTCATCTGCACTTGAAAAAGGCATTTTCACATACAACTAGCATAAACCTAAATGGCACTACATGAAATAAGTCAACCTTTTGTTCACAACAAAAGAACGTTTTCTTTTTTCAAAGCACTTTTCTCAAATAATTAAAAATTGTATTTTTAGGAAAAATGTGATACTGAACCACCATGTGTGATATATCGTTGTAAAGAGAAAAAAAGACGTAATCTCAAAATGTGAAAATTCAAAATGGCGCCCATAAGAAAAACTAAAGTTGCCACGTGTTTCTCCGTCATCTTGAAAGTTATTAAAAACAGGATGCCATATTTGAAATCTCCATTAAAAAGTGTCCGAATAATGTGTTAATTAGAAATGTCTACTACGATTAGTTTATTATAAAAAAATTAAAAACGAAAATCAGAAATTTTCGATTTTTTGCGATATCTTCAAAACTATTGAAGATATTTCAAATTTCTTTTCAGATTCTTATTCGGCACGAAAATTGGCGACTTTGCCCCCATTAACCAACTTTCTATCTCTTAAGATAAGTGAGATTCCCATAGTGGCACTCGAAAAATGGACACCGTGTAGATCTGGTTAGGTATGGTAGTTAAATAAAAAATTGTTTTCTTAGTTCTTATAGTATACCATGTCACTTCCTGGCTTGTGCGGGAAAAGTCTCCTGAGTTTGCGTAAAATAGCGCCTCAAATGCATTTTTAGTCCAATGCAATTACTCATTATTGTGGAAAATGATCGAACCCAGGTATAACGAATTGCTTTGAATGATTTATTTTTTTTGAGGTTCTTAATACCAAAACTATGTACCTACAATGTTTACCCATTGAAAATTACAGCAATTTTGAAACTCCAAAAAGCGATCTAAATGACAGAAAATTTAAATAATACAAATACCTACATCTTTTACAGAAAATAAAGGGATTTCAATGTAAAATTCATAACATGCGATTATTGGCTCCTCAAATTATTTTAGAGCAAAAATGTATTAAAGTTTTTTGTAGAAAAAATTTTTTTACGTCAATCAACCGTATTAGTTTTCAATTTTTTGCATAATAAAGACGGAAAATTGGAAAAATAAAAATCCCATCTGGGAGGTTCTGCCCCAAACAGTGGCAATATAATCGGTTAGAGCATTTATGACAGGGGAACTGCACAAAATCGTTGTATCGTCTGCGAATTGAATGCATTTACCAATGCCGATTGCGTTAGATAGATCATTCACGTAGATTAGAAATAAGGTGGGACCCAAGACCGATCCTTGCGGGACGCCAAATATTATTTCCTCTAGATTTGAAAATTTCTTATTAAAACCATAATGTGGAACGATGATCCTTTGATCTTAACCTGACCCATCCAATTTTTTCTACACATGATCGATCTAGATGGGGGTGCAAGTGTAAGTATCACGTGAATGTGCCAAACTTACAAAGATGAAAAATGGCCTAAATCGGGCGCGCTAAGTAATAACAAAAGTACTTTTGTCAACACGTTAATTTATTAGTTACGTTACATTCGCAGGTGTATCCTTGTAAGAGCAGTGACTGATGGATAAAATATTCTTTCGCAACGGTTCCGTTATATTTGTATATCCCGCTTGAAATCTTCCAAATCTCCCTCGACATAGATGCTCTTCCCAAAGTTTAACGCATTCGGAATTCACGTGGACACCAACGACACGAATGAAGAACACCCTCGGAATATTTTTACACTTCATCCTGCATCCGCTTATGGTGTATTGCTTCTTTATTTGCAACTCCAAAGTCGCCGAATAGTAATCACACGAATTTACCCATACAACTTCTAAAATTAGAATCACAAAGAGTAGTGCTCGCATATTGTGTTATTAAACCATTATTTTTGACACTTTTGTCAAAAAATTGGTTACGATGGGAACGTCATTTATCGAGTGCAAAGTTCGTTCTGGTGTTGGGAGTTGCTTCTACCATTGTCTACTGAGTCAACATCGGTCTCAGTAGTGAAAAAGTCGTTTGGGGTCACAAATCTGAAACATTTAGGTATAATGAAAGCTTAAAATCATAGTACTTGTTTGGTTTTCAGTGGACCATAAATGCGTACTTAATAATTTTGTTTGTTAAATGTTAATTTTCGGTCGAACCATACCAATACATTAATATAAAAT